GACAAAGAGCTGCTACAGTCAACCCTCTTGCAACCTTCCCAACGCCAGATGATCCCCAAAGCCAGTCCCCGTGCTCTCAGCCACCCTCCCACGCTCTAATTTAAGGACATGATGGCATTTTTCAAAGGAGTCAATGTAAGAATGGCACAATCAAAGATACAAAAACAAAATACATGTTGAAGATTCCAGCAGTGAGAATAAATGCAACTGGAAAACTTGAGTTGTCAGCGCTTCAGAGAAATGTAAGTTCTCTTATAAAAAAACAAATTAATTGGAGAAAGACTTTTTAAAGCCTTTTTCTCTCCTTCCTTCCTTCCCTTCTCTCCATCCATCTATCCATCCACCCAAGGATAGCTAATTAAGCTCACAGGTCTGGGGATGAATTGCCAGCCCACGCTTCACCCGTTCCATAACCATGGGGCTCGCTTAAACATTCCATGCCTCAGGTTCCTTAATTGAAAATGAGGATATAAAACCACCTACCATTTACAGTGACAGGCATGCTCTTGATGCAAAAATACTAAAGGAAAGTTACCATTATTTGAACTACTAAGATGTGTTATCCTTATTACTCCACAGGAAAACAGAATGCCTGTCACACAACAGACTGTCGATACATACTTTTGAATGAATAAATATGTGAATAAATTTCATAGGTTAGATGCTCATGTGAAATGCAATATATGAATACTGATGCTGGATGTTCTCTGGAGACAATGTGATTATTAATACTTATTGATTTTTTTTCAGAAACATCATTCTGGTTCAAAAATTATGAAAAAATACCAAGTGCAGTTAGACACACACACACACACACACACACACACACACACATACACACACACACACACACACACACATCTCCTAATGAGCAGGGTTTTTTTAAATTGGTGCTTTGTATAATACAGACTGAAAATTAGCTGAACACAGGGGTTTATTAATGTCTATGGAAATGATTATCAAGTTTCAGAGAGAGGACCTGGATAAACGCTAAGCTTCAGGAGGGCAGGGTGGTTGGTTTCTTTTTTTATTTTGCCAGTACCTTATAAAAAGTCTGAGGCATTCAGGATCCCTAGATGCTGTCAGGAAAAGGAAAACTAAAAAATCATTTTTCCCCATATTACTTCTAAACGGAATGTTCAAATTTAAATTCATTTTATGTATCTTTTGTTGCTTGAAAATAAAAATGACAATTCTCACTTTATGGAGAACTCGGGCTTGGAACTACTTCTCCCAGGTGAGAAATGAAACGGAAAGAACCAATACCTTAAAAATATGAAAGTGGTGATGTGTGTGCGTGTACACGAATGTGCAAGTGTGCACAGAGAAGTGGGTGGTAAAGATGCACACGTATCAGATTAAAATTCCTCAGGAATATCTGACCTAAACATCCTTAGAAGGAAGACACTAGGCTGGCAGAAGTAATAACTGAACTTTTACTCATGATACTTTCAACAAAATGAATCTATCCTTGTATCAAATGTATGTACATTTACCTAGTGGTCAAGTTCAATCCAAAACTTCAGGGAAAACTAAAATCATGATGAAATGTTTTGTTGTAAATCAAAATATTTACTTTTTCAAATACCAATTCATTGATCCCTTCCAAATCCATGCTCTCTGAGTTCCTATGACCCGTAAACGTTCTTGTCCCCCCAAGTCAGACTTCAAATCTCTCCTCCCAACTTGCAGGTCTGAATACAAAACCCACCTTATCTAAGCACCTCCAGGGTAAAAAGTAAGAGTAACCACAAAATGCCCAATCTCAGGGCTATGAGCTAAGGGTTTCTTATGCCTTAGAACAGTTTACAAAAATAACCACATGGTATAAAAAACTTAATAAATGGATGTCAATCTATCTGGGCAGATGTATCAGAGAAAAAGCAGCCGCAGAAATGAAGGTCCGAGTTATAAATCAAACCCCACGCACACTGATGGAATTTCTACAGCTAGAGAAACCCTTGCAGAGATTATCTGAGAAAATATTACTGCAGCCAAACCTATGCGTCCATTTTAAAGTCAACTTGAAAACTTTAAAAGCTATTTAAAGTTGACTTTTAAAAGTCAACTTGAAAACTTAACATTGGGAAAGGACTTCTGGGTCAGTCACCAGCCAGCATGCTGACTTGAATGTCGAGGGACACCGGCTCTGAAGGGGAGTCTGAGAAGCACAACATATTCCAGCTCTAAGGTTCCAAGTGCAAACTGGGCTTGCCCTTGTCAAGTGTGGGATGGTCCCCGCGGGGGCCGGGGCAGGGCGTGCGGATCTGCCCTCGCCTCCCCTCCCGCCTCCACTCAATAACGGCATCTACATGCCCACAGGGTGGGCATGCCGCTCAGGCTAACGCGAAGGTACCCACCAGCCATTTCTAAGACTGGGGCACTTCAACCATAGCAAGCAAAACCAAAGCACTGATGCACAGCGAAATGTGCACGCTGAATGCCAAGCTCAAAGCGCTCACGTGAAGGAACCGAAACGCCACAGAGAGGGAACACGCCTTGGGTGGCAGCCTTCCTTGCTGCCAGGCGCCATCCTGCACAAGACCGGGGCAGTATCTGTCTGCGAGGCCTTCACCGCAGCACCTTCATCTCCGCATCGCGCCGGGGAGGAGAGAACGGCGGCTTTACCCCGCTCAGCACATATTTGGGGCTGAGGCCTCAGATGCCTGCGCTTCCTCTAACTAATAGCTCCTGACACAGGAGAAAAGAAAGAAGCAAATGGAAAATAGTTCATAATTAAAACATTCCGAATTGAGTATCAGATTCATAAATTCATTCTGGAGAAAGAAATAGAAGATGATGCAGCGGAACAGAAAATAACTCCCTCATTTAGAGCACAAGTTGCCCTTTGTCATAATAATATTAATTTCAAATAGTTGCTGCCACTGCTGAACGATGTGTATCTTTCTTTCCAATCTGTTTTGTAAAAGAAAAGAAGACTGTAACTACGACTGATGTTGAAGTTACAGCCTGGTTTCACCACTGAAGGATGGCTCCAGGGTCCCCAGCTATACAGGCCCACGTGTTCCACTTGAGGCCTCTTTACAGAAATTCATCCACATCTGACTCCAAAATCCATTCCTGAATTTTATTTTGTCATTCTGCTTAATGCCATAATTGTTTTATTCAATTAATTATCTGTGATATCATTAAGTAAACTCACAATTGTACTTATAAGCTATAGTGAGGTGGAGTTTATTGGCTGAATGTTACTGTAATTTAACCATTAGTTCTCACCGCCTGTACCAATAAATACTCAAGCTAGCATCCTCTTCTCCAGCTCACAGTAAATGCCTTAAAGCTTCACCTGAATTTACTTCCCAAATCAATGGGACATTTAGTAAGGTGAAGATACATGAGATTCCTATACTGGGTGTTTATACATATTTTAATGCTCAGTTAAACAAGAAAACCTTTATTTTTAAGACATTTCAAATTTCAAATCCTAGAGACCAACTGACAGGTTATCTGGAGTTGTCTGCCAAGCCCAAAGTCCCAGAGGTAAGAGTCACCTGCTTCATTACATCATCCTATTGATTTAACTGTGTTTAATTAACTTAAATTATTTTTACTCGATGATTATAAATTCACAACCTCTCTACTCAAAGAGTGAGACACAGAATAGGAGGAGATCTGCTGAAGTGACAAAAAGACTTTGATTTTCAAGAAATGGACTTAACGCCAGAGAATATCTCACCTGTGGCTACAGCTTACTTTAAAAGAATACAAAAAGCCATCATTTATTATGAACTTAATTCATTTGCTTCATTCCTATAATTGCTAACAAATATCAAAGTCAAGCTGATGGACCATGATGCAATAAACCTGAAATGCATGGAGTTTTCATGAAAGAGGAGCACGAACGCCCACAAGCTTCCTTGCAAAGGTACCCATGTATCTTCACGGCCATCACATTGGAAGCAAACCTGCAGAAATTCTCTACTGCAGAAATGTTTACAGCAGTCACACAGTTCATGTTCAAATACGTGACAGATTTGGCACTCAGGCTTACATACTAACCTTGCATTGAAAGAAAAACGTTAGTAAAAATTTGGTAAAAATCTAGTTAGACCAACCAGCACCTCAATTATACTCTCCAGTGGCGTGACCTCCAGGGGCGGGGGGCCGAGACAGTCGGCCTGACGGCGCAGCGACGTCAGGACCCCACGGGCAGCGCACGACGGGCGGGCTCACAGCGCCCTTTGCTTTTTCATTTAAAACTGACTGCGCAGCATCCAAAGTGATGCTCAGGTTTACATCTAGACACTGAGGCAGGCTCTCACCGGAGTTCCTACTGCCCCTCTACCAAAACCCATCCTGAGAACTCAAATACAATAATAATAAATCTCTGTCTCATTCAAAAATCCCTGACAGTATGACAGGCATCTCAGAGGAAAACAGATGACCCCACCAAAAAAAAAAAAAAAAGAAAAGTGGTGGTGGGGGGTTGAACCAATGCCATAAAACTGGTGACAGAATCCTGATGAATAACTATCTAACCTTTAATTAGAGGGAAAAGATTTGTTTTCTGTGTAATTTTTTTTTCTAATTTCCATTTCTTCTTCTTTTTCCTTTGTTTGGTAATGAAGAAAGTACCCAGAAGCTATCCCGTTCCTTTATCAGGTGCCACGGTGACGTTTTGGACAGTAACACTTGCAAGGCGCTTCCTGGCATCTAGGGGTTCCAGGAAGGCACACCACCTTTATTCCCTTAAATACGGGCCCTCAGGACAACAAGGCACCCAGCCTCAGCGCACTCAGGAGGGATCTACAAACGAGCTAGTGCAAAGTTCTGCTGAGTGGTTTTCCCTCCCACTTTCCTGCCCACACTGTTCAGGATGAATCGTGCATACTTCTGAAAGTCACCAGTGGTCAAGTCACTTTGCATTTTGGGGAGATTCTTGCTTCCGATACCAGTTGCTTTAGACTATGGCTTCCCATGACACCTCCAGCGAGGCTGCCCTCAATGACTTATCATTTGGGACCAGCAATGCTCAGTACCTGTGAGAGGGGGCACTCCTTCGCCAAGGAGCTCTGATTCATATCCTTCAGCAAGTCCTTCAACGCGTTCCTCACGGTGGTGTGCGACCACTGCTCGGGAGGCAGGTCTTCCAGTTTGGGGCAACTATTGGAGACACAGATTAGAAAGGGGATTATGACAAGATTGCATCCCGCTGCAGAACATTCCTTTAAGACAGACAGATTTCATTTTGCGCATCAAACAGATGCATCTGGAGATTGCTCTCGGTCTCCTGATTGTTCCGATTAGTTAATTACTTTATACAACACATCTGCTGTATCGATGCATGAATTATACATCAGCTGCCTGTGGTGGCTATTTTTCCATGTTACTTCTACCTTCCTGCTCTGATGCGCTTGGGAAGACAATTTAAGGTGTACTGCTTCCTCAAGAGCCATTGTGAAAACGTGAACGTGGGAACCCTTCTCCCTCCAAGACTCCGCTCGTACGAATTAAACTGGTTAAAAAAAAATTATATAAATAAATAAGAGCTCGGCAATAGTGAATAAGGCATTCTTTCACAAAGTGTACACAGATGGCAGTGTTCATGATATGCAAAAATATTTTTCTCTTAAGTAAACTTTATGTAAAATGCCTTCTTGCAATGCATCATTTAATTGATTACATAGAAAAAGTCTTGTCTTTTGATAACCTGCACAAGTAGATGCATTTGGGGGGAACAATGCTTTTAAACGATAGACTGCAATTAGGAAAATAAAGGAGAAAGGGTGAGGTGACAAAATCAATTTGGGTTAACCTCTCTGAAATGCAGAGCAAATCACAACTGGAGGCTGACCAGAGCTACTTTGTTTCAAACAATCAGGTGAGTAGAACCTCTGCCCTGGAACTGCTTTCCTGACCCACCTGTGTAGCTGGATTTTCAATGTGACCACATGATACACGTCTTGAAGCATATCTGCTACTGTAGCATCGGGGGCATCTGTCACATAAGACAGTGGGACCGGATTCCACTTCCCAACCTGGATCAGCCCTATTCCAGATAAAGAGCATGTGTCACTGCATGTCTGACCCTTCAGATAACCTATCCAGCAGAAGGCTATTTTTCATTGCCCCTACCACAAGCAATTTTGGTACTTCTGTTTGAATGATTCCCGTCCCTCTAAAAGGCAGGTCAATGAAAATATTCACAGCTTAGTTTTCCAAACTGTGAAATTATGTAAATGACAGTGGGGTTGTTTATTATTTTGGAAATAAAACCCCATCAATAAAACCTAGGCAGAGGCCACATTTTCCTAACTTACAGGAAGTTCTAATAAGACATAGCTGAACCAGTTCTAAATGGCTTTACGATTTAGATAAGATTCTCGATTGCAATGGGAATCAGCATTGAAAAATACTTTACAGCCCATAAAACCATCAGAAACAGAATAAAAGAAACAGAACTAGATATTCAGTCATAAATGCAAATTGACTCTCAACAGTCCATCTGCTCAGATACGCTCCTCACTTCCTTGTGGGTCCTCAGTGGAGCAGATTATTAAGGTCAATAAGCATACTAATGATTCAGCTGAAGTAATTTAAAAAAAAAAACCTACCTCCACATTCCACATGAGCAAAATGTGTGTTAACTAAACCAAACTGAATTAAGCCAATTTTTTAAAGCCACAGTCTAGGAGGAACCCATGTAACGTACAGGCTACAGTTCTTTGAATGAAAATATTCAGATGCTTTCTCTGCAAGGTAAACAAAGGATGCCAAGCAATTTCCCCAACCCACGGATGCACCATTTACCTTTGGCCTGGGCAGCAGAACTATGTGAGTAACCCAGAGACAGCAAGGCCATTTCTATCAGCTGGTTGAAAAGCATATCCTTCCTCACCAACACAAATTCTGCATGCTCCTCCTTACAATCGTATTCAATGGCATTTTCATAATGTTCCACCACGCAGAAAACCGGGAGCATGGTTCCTGTCGAGGAGACAGAGCAGAAAGGGATGCAAACCAACGGATTTCAGCAGCACAGTCTGGGGGAGGAGGGAGGCAAAACATGAAGCCATGAAAATAAGTCTTCACCACCGTGAGGGAAGGGGAGCCTGTTCCCAAGGCAGACAGGGCCCGGAGATCCAGGCATACAGACACAAAGATACACCTCCTTTCATTTTTATTTTTTAAGTTGTAAGAGAAATGTTGAAATGGAATATGAACTGGCCCTGAGGTAGCGTGGGCTCTAATTTTAACAGAGCACTTCCCCTGACCAATTAATGCAGAATTACCTTTCTGATCAAATCATAAGGCTGACAGAGAGGAGTGAGTGTCTGGTCTGATCTGCTGTGAGTGGCACCTGGTGTGCAAATGTCATTCACTCAACCCGGCTTCGAAAGAACCCATCTCCATGCTTCCTACATGCTTTTGTTAGGATTCAACTTTCCCTGTCTGTGTCCAACCAAATTAGCTTTGATTATAAAATTATGAGCATTCGCCTCCTTCTTTACGATCTTCACGTTGAGGCCACAGAAGAAACACAGAACTTAACCAAACTGAAGTTCATGACACAGGATTTCAATATGTGCCCACTGCAGATGAGTGATATTTATTTTGATGGCTATGCATTTAATCTACCTGCCTAAAAGGATATCACGGTAACCACAGGTCTTTAAAACGAACAATCTCTGCTCTAGCAAGTGGGGTACAGATGAGAGCAAGGGAAACTGTCCTCATCAGGGGGTCTCAGGATGCAGGAATCTGCAGAGGCGAGATGTGCTCCCGTTTACTGTAATCCCAGGTAATAACTCAAGAGCCAGATGGTTAATAAACACAGGCCACACCACTGTCAGCAAAGAGGCTTCTAGAAACAGAAATCATGGAACGCTGCCGTCCTCGAGGTGTTTACACAGCGCACTGTCAGACTTCCAGTGATAAACGGAAAAGGGTTAAAAGCAGATGCAGCAGAGTGCAGTGTGGCATGCCGCCAGGAGGGCATCATCCTCAGCATAAATGATGACAAAGGTTACTGTACCAGGGCACCCAGGACCCCCAGTTAGTCCTGGAACGCTAATGCCTCTCTAAGCTCTGCCCTCTGCATTCCCAGAATCCAACCAACTTCTGAAGGTGTCCGGGGCCGGCACAGCAGAGCTAAAAACCCAGGGTTTCCTCCTGACACCAGAGATGCCCTTTAAAAACGCCCTATTTGCTTGTTTCTGCCGAACAAAGCCGGCAGGAAAAGCAGCCACAGTTTTCTACGTGGGCATCTACACCACAGCTTCAGTGAACTGTTCACAAGAGATTCTAGTTCTGACAAACAAACCCCTTTAGGTTCACTTAGAAAAGCTCACAAACTCATTTGGAGGGACCCAACAGGCTAGGCATGAAAAACAAGCTGCGGAGCTTGCCAACATCCTTGTCATTCATTCGGCTGTTTTTATACCAGAGAGAGAACCCGTCAGGGATCAGAAGGAGACTGGGAGAGACCACGGCAGAAACAGCGATATGCAAACTGGTGATTTCTTCCTTGGCTGGAAGGTACTTTGGCAAAACCTCCTAAACAAACAAACAAAAAAAAACCCCTCCAACCCCTCTCCTTAAGGTGTGGTTTCTCAACCCAGCCACACTCACTATCTGGCACCTGTCAAGCGGAAACGCTCCACGTGAAAAAGAAGAGAAAACAATACCACCACCAACACAAGGCTGGAGGCATTTTGTTGCTTCAAGCAAGCAGAGAACCTTCTACAATTAAAGTGCATGTTTAAAATGTCACTACAAATGCGATGCTTGGAAAAAAAAAAAAAAGCAGAACTTGAGCAGGAAGCGAAATTATTGTACTTTGGTTTCTCCTCCCTCCATCCTGAGGTCTTCAAAGAGTTGGGTTACTAACACAACAAAAAAACATAGGCACTGATTTTTCCTCTTATAGAATGATACAGACCTGGGCTGCTCTGGGCTGCTCCTCAGACCTGGGAGATAACTGAAGGTTTTTGAAACTGTTGGAATAAACGAGAGTCGCTCTGGATTTTAGAGGGACCCTGTAAGATCATTAAGGTGGCTGCTGATGAGGTGACAGTTGCAGACTCTAATTTTCAATCTGACTGCTTAAATCTCCCAGCGAACTGTCGCTGTCCTCCTGATACTGTGAGTCAGGCTGAACGGGAGCCTCCTCTGAACCGATTGTTTGTCTGAGTGTTTGGCGAGGCTTCCGACTCCAGCAACTTCAGAACCTTCCAGTGTGGAAAGGGGAGTGCGCTGGTCACTGCTGCCTGCTAAAAATACCGCATGATTTAAACCTGGAGGCAGTCTTAGAAGCTTTTGCTGAAGGTTTATGAGCCTGTGTAAACAGCACGTCTGCCATAAGGAGCAGTGAAGTCTGTAGAATCCTTGTCTAAAACTGTCCTGGCATCAAAGTTTGCTGTGCAAATATCACATAATACCAGAGACAGCTGAAATCTCCTATTTAGGAATTTATGGAACTTATATGTTTGCAGGCGTCAGAAAGTCTTTTTTATAGAGCCCCAGTGCTTCACAGTACAATATTAATGCACTCTGTTTGAAAAGCCATAATAAATTATATTTTTAATGCTCTTACCCTGGCTTTCTTAAGATGCATACATTCTTGGCAAACAATCAATAAATAGGGTAATCATGAGGAGAGGCCAAAGAATTTGCTGAAGTGCTGTTTTTCCATTTTTAATAGATAAAGATCTAACAATACGGACTGCTGTGTCTGTTCATTTCAGGATCAATATATTCTTTGTTTTCGCCAAACCAAGGAAAAAATAAATGATTGTATGATAAATGTTATGCATCAAACACAATGAAATTCCTCTGCCTGCTAACTTTATCTACTTAATATTCTTGGTTGTTACAAGATGGCATTTTTATCCTTTGCTTTAGCAAATGTATGGAAAATCTGAATCCCATACACAGTTATTCAGAGACAAATAAAGACCTTCTAAGGCCCACACGTCATGCCCAGCGTAGACCCTGATCTACAGAAACAACAGGGCTGAATGCAGTCAAAGTGGTTAAACTCCATCAATGTAATAGAACACTGGCAACAGGAACCACACAGTTGCATATCCCCTCCTTATTAACTTGCTTAAATCTGCCCTTTTATCTGAAACACCCAATTACAGCCAAAGGGAAACACCAGAATTATCAGGTTTTTAGCTACTAAGTAACGAAGTTGCTCTTAAGAAAAAAAACCACAAGAAGAAAAAAAATCACAAAACTTTTACATCGTATCAGAGAAGCCTTCCATTATCTGCCTTACAACCAAGTAATACTATGAACAAGCCAGGTCCGGCCTCCAACAATTTTAAGGTCTCATTCTCAAGCAGGGTTAGTGTCAGCAACAGCCACTTCTACACCCTCTTCTGCCCCGCCACCTTATCAATGGAAGCCTTGTATAACCGAGACCACTAGACTTAATTCAGTCTTTATCATCCACAAAGCCCAAAGACTCCAGCCTACAGGAGGAGGAGATGCCCTGCTGAAGCATGAAGCCCGCACTTTCAGACGTGCCTGACGCCGCAACCAGAGGGGGAGCTCAGTTCAGAGCAGAAACGAGAGTCAAGGGGAGCATGCAAAGCCAGCCTCTGCCCGTCCAGCCCTGCGCCGGGTGGTGCTGGGTGGGCACGGGGCTTGCGGCTTTCCAGGGTTTGGCTTGAGAGTATTTACCTTTCCTCAGCGTGCTTTTCATCAGATGACCCGAGTGTTTCAAAGGCACTCCCTGCATTTTTGCACCTGTGCTCCCAAGCCTTCCTCGTCCTAGCGGGCTCCCGTTCTGTTCCAGGCGGGCAATCTTGGCTGGTGGACCCTTCGGATCGCTCACATTGTTAGACATTTCTGAATGTTCTTTCCCCTGAGTCGCCTCGTTCAAATGATCCATACTCAGTTAGTCTCTAAAGATCACCTGCCAGAATTTAAGAAGAAGACAGGTTACAGTTGGGTGGGGGGTCTCCGCACGCCCCCACCTTCTCTGTGTATGTATAACGCCGTACATGTTTTATCCCTGGATATTTCTCTCCAAAAATATAATGTATTTGTCAGACTGCTTAACCAGACAGATAATAGGTTACTCTATTTCTAGATCACAGCATTATATTTCCATTCAAGTTAACAGAATAATTTGTGGAAATCATATCAACACACAAGAACGAAAAGATAATTTGTCACCTACCAGCAAAACTATGTGTGTGGGGGGATGGGGGGTGTGGGGGATTATTTTTAGAACAAGAATTACTACAAGTGTAGCTAAAAGGAAAATAACAAATTGGATTTATATAGTACCAATTGTTAAAAATGAGAAACTTAATACAGAACATAATAATGACACTTTAATCAAAGATGGAAAGATTATTTTATCAGTCCAAGAGATTAGTTACATCTGTTGCCTTTATATTTTAATATACATTTTAATTCTCATGAAGGAAAAATAGATTCATATGTATATACACCACCTCAAAAGAAGGTAGCAGACAACTGCTTTTTAAACTCTCTACCGGCTTTACGGTTAATGTGTAGAAAAAGTTTTCTACTGTCAAAGTATCAAGAATTACATGACCTGTTTTAAAGATTCAGTCAAGTCTTGGCTCAAACATGCAACTGGATCATTCCATCCCTAACCAAGTGGATAAAAGTGGAGGGTTTCTTCAAAGAGCCTCGATGCTGAACTATTACAGCTCATGTATCTTAGAGTTAATATTTAGGTATTCTTTTGTAACGGAATGCTGTTAACAATTTAAATACCAAAAATTTTGAAAACATTTTGTAATATACACATTAGATTGAAGCGCTAAACTTGCTTTGAAAGAAAGCTTGTTAATTTTGGTAAAACAAAATAACCAGTGTTCAAAAGTAATCTCAGCAGGCAATGAAGTCAACATTTCAATTAACTCCAGAAAAAAAATGAACATAATTATTTTTCAGTTGTATTATATTTTGGACATCAATTTTCATACTGTTTATAGTAAAGCAGCTAGTACATTATCTAAATCACTTCTATAATAGTTCTAACTAACATTGATAGGAACAGGTAAGTAGAATTATTTTATGAACTTTCATGGTGCTTGAAGTATTGAGTTCACCAATACTAAGGGAAAGAGAATCATGCTCAGAAAAAAGAGAGAATATGATAATTATCACTTTCCTCCAGCTGTTTGGTAATTTGACATATCTTGCATATTTATATAAATATATATGCATATATATAAAATATGAAGAAGCTACGTAGATACAGATTTGAAAGCAAGCTTATATTAGTAGCAGGGCCTTTCTGTAAGCATTGCTTCCCCCTCTGTTTAACCATAGGTTACTGTGTCCACTATAGTTAAGGAAAGAGGTGATGGGGAGGGGGAAGCAAGGATAATCTGTAAGTTCAAAAGCAACCTTCAGAAGGCCAGGTAAAGAACGATAAAGTTAGAGAACTGATGGCTACTTATCCTTGTGCTCCAAGGCGGCACAGTCAGACCAAAGGTTCACTGTTGACCGAGGTCCCATCTGCTTTTGGTTATGAGGCTCATTAACAATAAATGTGCCTCTTTTAACCACTTTTTATCAAGATTACTCTTTCCATTACATTGAACTGTAGTCTGAAGCCAAAATTAGTGGTGATTATTAACTTACTCAAAACACTCTTTATAATGCTTCATGTGGGTTATAATACAGAACTGCTTTTCCTGAAATTGGCTGCCTTACCCGAAAGCAGAAGATGAATTTTAAAACATATGATTTGAAAAGAAAATACTTAACCCATGTGGCAATTTAAGAACCAAAAAAAAAAAAAGAGAGAGGATGAGTAGACAACAGCATCAAAGTTAATGCTACAAAACGTATTAAGTAGTCATGAAGCTTAACAGTATTATAAACTGTGAAGTGATAGATGATAATTTCGTTAATGTATTGACAATCAAAACATCATATAGGTCATGCAAAATTGTCCTTCGAATGAATACCCACCTATAAGCAGCTATTAAACACTCAGTCATCTTGTAAAAAGCTTTACATTATAAAGCAAAATTACATGCACATAAAACACCCAATTTACTCATTTAAACTCTGTGCCCAAGGCTGAAGTTCACTAAACCTGAGTTTGGAATTGCAAAGAGCAACCTCCGTGGGGCCTGCTGTTCCCTGACTGCATGGGAACAAACTAAGGTCTCAACAGACGCCAGGCTGGAGAGTTTCTTGTGAGTTACACATTTTAAAAACCGATTTCACTGTGATGTCTGGCTGGCACATTGAAAGCAGGCTACTTTCTCCAAACCCCACTTCCCTGTCCATAAACGAAGTCCATATATGATCATTAACGAATTAAACAGCGAACTCAGACACAGCAATTATTTCCTTTAAAAAGAAAGAGCAAAGCACAAAATTCCGGTTTCAAGAACCTATTTGGTTTTTTTTTTTTTTTGCAGTGTGGGAGCCTTTTCAACTAGTTCCCTGCTGAATCGCCTCCTTCGCCCCCACACAACCCCATAATCACATTTTAAGAGACTGTGCCCTTATCCGTTCCACATGGCCGGCACGATCCAGGCCAAGCTTTCACTGTGACCTTTTAAAGAGACAAAGAAGCAAAGTACTATCTAGAATCAGAAACACTGCAGTTTTACTGAGTGAAATTAGCAAAACCGACCTGAAACTCACCACTTCAAAACTTGACAGCATATAAATAACAAAAACAAAGGAGATTTCCTTTGCAGCTCGGGTTCTCGAAGAGAAGTTCAAGAATGATGTTTTCTATGTCCTTTTTTTTTTTTTTAATTAAAAAAAAAAAAAGCAGCAGCAGACCTGAAGGCGACTTCCCCTGAAATTGTATTATTTTCTCTTCCTTTACCCTCGCCCCCCTAAGCGGGGGAAGGGCAGATAAGCGTCTGGAAGAGTGGCCATGGAAAAGAGGGGTTAAGGGGGGGAAAATCACAATCGGACCAACAGCATATATGGTTTGTAAAATGTCTAACCTCGGAGAACGGGGTTTTCGATGGGGGAGGAGGGGAGAGCGGGAAGGAGGGAGGAGGGGGAAGACAGAATTGATCTGACAAGTGATTCGTTGGGGGGAAATCGTAAAAACAAAGCCAGTACGCGGCGGCGGTGCTGGGGAGGCGAGGTGGGGATCGGGAATTCTCTTAAAAAGAAAAAGGAAAAAAAAAAAACAACAAAAAACACCCAAACAAACCTCGGCGGCCGAGGTCTGCAGAAGCGACCCCCGCCCGCCGGGGCTCTCCGGGGCGCGGGCCGAAAGTCCGCCCGGCCGTGGCCCGCGGTCCCCTCCTCCTGCCGCCCCGCGCGCGCGCGGCTGGGGGGCCGGCTCGCCTCCCCCCGCCCGCTCCCCGAGAACCGCGCCGGAGAGTAACCGACCTGCAACTTTCTTCCCGCAGCCTCGGGCCCCGCGCGGGGCATCTAGCGGGGGGCCGGGGGCCGCAGGGCGCGCAGGAAGCCCCGGCAAGGCACTGGGGCGCCACTTTGGAGCCGGCCCTCGCGGACGAGCGCCCCGAGGACCCCCCCGCGGCCCATGGACGCGGGGCCGCGAGCGTCTGCGGAGCCTGGAGAGTGAGGTTGGGGGGGGGCCGGAGGAGGGGGCCGGAGGGCGCCCCCGCCGCCCCCCGAAAGTCGCGGAGCCCTAGCTCAGCCGGAGTCCGAGGTAAACACCCGGGCCCACAATGGCCCCGGGGCGCGGGGGGCCCGGACGCCCCGCAAAACTGAGCAGGAGTTTCGGCGCGCGCGGGCTGGGGGCGCGGGGCGCCCCCCGAGCCGCCTGGGCCCCGCGCCGCCTAAAGCGCGGCGGAGGCGACGAGGCCGGCGGGCGCCGGGCGGCGCGGCGCCGAGTGCGCGCGCGGGCCGCTCCCCGCGCCCGGCCGCTCCGCTGCCCCCCGCGCCGCCGGCGCGGCCCCCATCAAACGCGGGGCGCGCTCCTCCCGGCCGCCGCCGCGCCCCGCTCGGCCCCGCGCGCCCCGCCGCGCCGCCGCCGCTGCTGCCGCCGCCGCCGCTGTGGCTGCCGCTTCCCCGTCCTCGTCATCTTAACGCACGGCCCCCGCTCGCAGCCCCCGGGCCGCCCGCCGCCCGCCGCCCGGCCCTTCCCCAGCGGGGCCGGCTGCGCCGCGTCCGGGCGGCGGGAGCGAGCGGGCGGGCGGCGCGGGGGCGGGGGCGCGGGGAGGGGCGCGGGGCGCGGGGGAGGGACGCGGCTTAAAACCCGGGCTGGAGGGCCGGGAGCGCGGAGGGGCGGCGGCGCGGCGGACGGGCGCGGGGAGCCGGTCGGGCGGGCGGCACACAATGCCCGGAACGGCGCGGCGCGCGGGCCGGGCGCGCGGGGGCCCGGGCCGGGGGCGCGCGGGGGCAGGTGTGCGCGGCGGCGGCGGGGCGGGGAGCGGCCGGCGGGGAGAGCGGGGGAGGCGGGGGCGAGGCCGGGAGGCGAGCCGCCCCCCGCCCCGCGCGCCGCGGGAACACCGAGAGGCAGCTGCAGGAGCGGGGCGCGCTGGCGCCCGGGGACGGGCGAGGGCGCACCGGCCCGCGCGGGGCTCCGAGGCTCGGGCCCTTCGGGACGGGGCCGGGGGACGGCGGGGCACCCGCTCTTGAGGAGCGCGGAGCGCGCGCCAGCGGCAGCAGAAACGGAAGGGCTGGGACCCCCGAAACCCTCTGCGCAATATGATCGCTCCTCACGGGAGGGGGAAGCCTCAACGAAGAGCCAGCGGCCCAAAAAGAGGAGCACTTTCCGAGCTCATCGGTACCCGGCCCCTTTGTACCGGGCGCAGGTAGATGCCAACGTCCCTCACTTCTGAGCCGGAGAACTCGGAGGAGGGAATCCGTGGCCCACGGTGGCCAAGTTAAACAAAATTTGGGTCACTTTCTTGAAACAGACCTGACTAGTTAAAAGTTATTACAAAGGAAAGCCTG